TTCAGATAGATATTGTAGATATCAGATAAAATTCAGATAGATATTATAGATTTAAGGAACAGCCTTAAAGAAATAGGCAAAATGTATAGCCAAAAGATAAATTCAAATTGGATTTTGAAAAATATTCAACAAACAAGCCAGGAAAGGAAGAACAGAAGAACCAAAAAAGTATAAGAGAAAAAGGGGGGGGGGGAAGTAAAATGGCAGATCTTTATTCAACAATATCCAACTTATAGGCAGAGATTTTCAGAACAGATAAAAACAAACAAAGCCAAGACTCAGTTATCTGCTGTCTGTAAGAGACAAGCTTCAACTATAAAGATATAATAAAGTAAATTAATGGGGAAACAACCACTGTGGAAACAGTAGGTATGAGAAGACTGGATTTGCTATGTTAATGTCAAATGAAGCAGACTTGAAGACAAACAATGTCACTTGAGGTAAAGAGGAATGTTTCATAATGATAGAAGTGTCAGCTTCTCAATATGATATAAAAACTACAAGTAGCATGTGATCATAACAAAGCTTGAAAGTATTTGAATCAAAAATTTACAGAACGAAAAGGACAAATAGATAATTCTACAACCATTGCTGGAGATTTAACACCTCTCTCTCAGCAATTTATAAAACCAGATACCAGAAAAATCAGTAAGATATAGAAGTAGTGAACACACTATTAACCACCTTGGTCTAATGGATGTAATAAAACATTGCACCCAGCACCTGCAGGAGTATACTCCTTCTGTTTAAGGACACCTGGTCATTACTTAAATAAACTGTATACTGAGGAATATAAGAAGTTTCAGTATATTTAAAAGAGTTGACTCCATAAAGAATGTATTCCCTGACTACAATGAAATTAAATCAGAAGTCAGTAAGACTAAGATCTAAAGGGAAATTTCAAATACATGGGAATTTAAAACACTTCTAAGTAACCCATAAGTAAAAGGGAAAAAAAATCACAAGAAAAAGTAGAAAATATTTCAAAGTGAATGATAATGAGAAGAGAATATGTCAAAAGTTGTGAGATGCAACCAAAGCAAAACCCAGTGAAGACAGTAAATGTTTGTATTAGAAGAGGCAAGAAGTCTAAAAATCAGTGATATGAGGCTCCATCTCAGGATACTAGAAAAAATAAGACAAAGTAAATTCAGAGAAAGTGGGGCAAGGGGCAGGCTAAGAAAGGGAATAAACACAGTTTACCAATGTCATGAAAGAAAGTGGGATTCTCACTGCGGATCCTATTAATATTTAAATATAAGATATACTTGGAATAAATTTAGGACAATAATTTCAATAATTTGAATGAAATGGACAAATTCTTGAAAATCAGTTTTCCAAAACTGATATCAGATGAAGCAGAAAATCTGAATATCCCAATATATTTAAAAAATTGAGCTTGTCACCCAAAACCTTACCAAAGAGATGGCTGGGTATGGGGACTTACACCTGTAATCCCAGCCCTTTGGGAGGCCAAGGCGGGAGGATCACCTGAGCCCAGGAGGTCAAGGCTATGTTGAACCATGATTGTGCTGCTGCACTTCAGCCTGAGTGGCAGAATAAGACTCCCTATTCAAAAACAAACAAAACCTTCCCAAAGAGAGAACACTCTACTCAGATGATTTTAATGACAAATTTTAGCAGTCATTTAAAGAAGTAATACCAATCTTAAATTCTTACCAAAAAATGGAGGAAGGAACACTTTCTAACCCCTTCCATGAGGATAGTGTAATCCTAAACCTGATAAAGACATTATAAAAAAAAGAAATTGGCAGACCCATATCTCTCATGAACGTAAACACAAAATACTTAATATAATTTCAACAAATTTAATCAAGACATAATGTGTCATGACCACATCAGGTTTATCCTAGAAAAGCAAGGCTAACATAATGTTAAAAAAAAAAAAAAATCAAGGCCAGGCACAGTGGCTCACACCTATAATCCCAGTAATGTGGGAGGCCAGGGTGAGAAGACTGCCTGAGCCCACGGGTTCAAAACCAGCCTGGGCAACTTGACGAGACCTCATCTCTACAACAAATCAAAAAACTTAGGTGGATGTGGTGGCATGTGCCTGTAGTTCCAGGTACTTGGAAAGCTGAGGTAGAAGGATCACCGTAACCCAGCAGGTTGAGGCTGCGGTGGCTGGGAGCGTGCCAGTGCCCTCAAGTTTGGGCGACAGAGTGAGACTCCAACCCCCCCAAAAAAGAAGAAAAAATCCTATGATATTCATCACTTTAACAGAATAAAGGGGGAAAGCCATGTGGTTTAGTGCTTCTGCTGTTTTTGTTTCACCTCTTCTACAGTGGCAAAACGTTTCCCTTTTGAGGACATTTTCAATAGGGGAACCAAACAAACAAAAAATTACTCGGGGTGAGATCAGGTAAATAGGGAGAGTCGGGCATGGGGGTCATGCCGTTTGGGGTCAAAAGCTACTGAACACTCAGCGTGATGTGGGCAAGTGTGCTCATAATCCCAAGTGAAATGGGCAAACGTGTTGGAAAAGTTACAAAAAAAATCACTGAAGCCAAACACAGCCTTTCACAAGAACGCTCGCTGGTCCACTGATGCTGATGGGTTCCTAGAACACTTACCTAACAGGAGAGGCCTGTACCACAAGGGGCCTGCCCTCCAAAAAATAATTCCGTTTTTTTAGTGTTCTTCTTTGATCCCCCCTCATACTTGCTGTAAGATTTTTTGGAGATGCTGTTCGTGGCAGGCAAAAGCAATATGGGGTGAAAAATATCTGAAATGTGGTTGTCCCATGGGGATAGGGATGGTACTGATTAGGAGGGAGCTTAGGTGACTTCCTGGGGTGGTAATAGGGTCGATTAGGATTTTCGTTACACAGTTGTACGTATTTGTCCAAACTCATAGAATGAGACCCTAAGATTTGCACATTTTGTTTCCTGTCACTTTTACCTGAAGATAATTTGAACTCTAGCTATATGTTCAGCATTGTAATATGCTGAAATCTACAGCCAGCTTTGAAATGCTTTAATATATCCAAATGGGTTGATACATATGAACGACCCATTTGATGATACACATATGAGAAGGCAAATACCAGCTGAGCATCCCTGACCTGGAAATCTGAAATCGAAATGCTTCAAAATCTGAAACTTTTTGAGCACTGACATGAGGTAGCGACACTTTTCCTTTTTGATGGTTCAGGTTCGGTGTATGCAAACTTTGTTTCATGACAAAAATCACTAAAAATATTGTGTAAAATTGCCTTTAGTCTATGTGTACAAGGTGTATGTAAGACATAAATGAATTTCATGTCAAGTCTTGGGTTCCAACCCCAGGATATCTCATTATATGCATGAAAATATTCCCAAATCCAAAAATATCTGAACTCCAAACACTTCTGATCCCAAACATTTTGTGTACAGATGCTTAACCTATACAGTGAATGTTAATTGTAGACCCTGAGTAGTGGCTATGTAGGTGTTCACTGTATAATTCGTTTAGCTTTTCTGTGTGTTTGAACATTTTCCAATAAATGTTGGGAAAATATTTAAAAGTATTTTAATAGTTTATTATGAAACTGATGTCTCGCAAAAATATTTGAAAAATATAGAAAGTAAAGGGAATAAAAGTGATCCATAGCCCACTCACCCAGAAGTAGTTGTGCTTGATGGTTTTGCCCTCAGTCTTTTTTCTAGACTTTGTTTAATAGCTAGGATTATATTTTATATGCTGTTTTATGTCCTGTGTTTTCCCCAGGAAACTTTACAACACATTACTTCCGCTGCCAGACGATAGTCTACTGAACAAATATATTATAGATTACTTAAGACATCCTCCTAGGTCATGTGCTTATTTTGGTATTATACACTATACTCATGGGTATATCTGTGTACAAAGAGTGTGCTCTGTGTTTGATTCCCTCCTTAGGATGGACCCTTGTACGTGGAAGTACTGTGTGTGAAAACATTCTAAAGCCCTCTGTACACATTATCAAGTTGTTGACTGGTCCATCATTTTCCTTTCAGACTAGTTCCTGAGACACCCCTGCAGACCCCCAGAGTTCCTCAGAGTTCAATGAGAATGTCGCTGATGCCAAATATTTGAACTCAAATATTTCACTGGCTAGATGTTAAGCTAGACATTTAATTTCATTCTTTACCATTCTGAAGTCTAGAGAGGTTAGTCACTTGCCTGAGGTCTCAGCAGAGCTGCCATTCCACCCTGTATATGTCGAGGCTGTGTCCGGCACACAGCAGGTGCTTAAAAATGTTTACGAAATGAGCACATGAATGAATGAAGGCACCATGAGCTTACATCAGTAGATTCACATTTCCCATCGGTTTCCCTTCAGAGCTATGGAGGACTTAGGTTAGTTTCTTTCTGATACTAGCCTGGATGTCACGCTCATTTGCACGATGGTTTCCTTATTCTGTCTACACCTAACCTCGTGTAAAGGACGCAGCCTCTTGATTTTCCTTTGGCTGAAACCACAGAGTAACACGGAAAGCCCCCGTGTTCCATGACGCTAATTGGTCTGTGTTGGAAATGCAGTCCACAGTCCAGTGATGGGAAGATCCTTTCTGCTCTTTGCCTTTTAGGCTTCTAGTGTGAATCACAAAGGGTTTTGGACAGAGTGAGCATCTCTCTCCTCAGAGGGCAGCGTGGTCTGTAGGTTTCCATCGGAGTAGGGAGGGAGACATGGTAGGGGGTGTGTCGTCCCCCAGCATCTGGGCACCCTGGCACTGCAGCAGACCTGGGGTGATGGGCTGGCTATCATGGGCACACGCAGTGCCCTGGCGGCAGTTCCTGGTGCGGCGGCAGTGGAGTGGGCACCCCAGGCCCCTGTGACTTCGGGGGCTATGAGAGCTGCTGACTTGTGGGGGACACAGCCTTTCTCGGATACAGAAACTAGAGGGGAGGGAGACGGTTCCTTTACAAACACACCCGAGAGGAAGGGTTGCTTGTCCTTGGGTATGAGGAAGAAAATGAGACTAATCGTTCCTTATTACTTGCCATTCTCTGTCCAGAGAAAGAATCAAGCATTGCTGCGAGCAGCTGCGCACTCTCTTGCCGTACACAAAGGGGAGAAAGAACGATGCGGCGTCAGTTCTTGAGGCCACAGTTGATTATGTGAAGTACATCCGGGAGAAAATCCCTCCAGCTGTGATGGGCCAGGTATTCCACTGCCAAAGCACTGCATTTTATTCTTATAAACAATGCCCTCTCTAGTGCTACAATTTAAAAACAGGTGTTTTTTTGTTTGTTTTTTGTTTTTTTGAATTAGGGTTTCACTCTGTTGTCCAGGCTAAAGTGCATTAGCACTATCACAGCTCACTGGAGCCTCAATTCCTTGTGCTCAAGCAATCCTCCTGCTGCAGCCTCCTGAGTAGCTGGGACTACAGGTGAACATCACCATGCCTGGCCAAATTTTTTTTTTTAGTTGGAGTCTCACTCCATTGCCCAGGCTGGAGTGCAGTGGCACGCTCATGGCCACCCCAGCAGTGACCTGCTGGGCTCCGGCGATCCTTCTGCCTCAGCCTTCCAAGTAGCTGGAACTATAGGCACTCACTACCACGCTCAGCTTGTTTTTTTGATTTATTATAGAAATGAGTTCTCACCAAAGTTGCCCAGGCTGGTCTCAAACTCATAAGCTCAGGCAATCCTCTAGCCTCAGCCTCCCAAAGTACTGGGATTACAGACTTGAGCCACCATGCCTGACCAATTTTTTAATATTTTTTTGTAGAGATGAAGTCTCCCTATGTTGCCCAGGCTGGTTTCAAACTCATAGGCTCAAGTGATCCTCCCGCCTTGACCTCCCAAAGTGCTGGAATTACAGACCTGAGCTACCATAGCTGGCCTTTGTGTATATGTGTGAAAATAATCTATATATAAAAATATCTTTCTATCACCATGTTTTCCAGATTACAGAAGCACTTCAGAGCAACAGGAGGTTTTGTAAGAAACAGCAAGTGCCTATCCAGCTCTCTCTCCCAAGCACAGTCATGGCACAAAGGTATGGTAAAGGGCTCCTGGGAATCCAAAGTCTGCTTGTTACTTTTCTCCAATGCTGATGCTAGACATGTTGACAGAGACAGAGCCCCTCCACCGTAAAAGCTCAGGGATTTATTAAGGGTTGTGGACTTCCCCATTGCTGATGTGTATCATTTCATTACAGTGATAAACACAGGTAATATTCTCAGATCCATGGTCCTTTCATTGTTTGACTCACCCTTACTTCTCCTTTTTTTATTTCTGAGTGTCTTAAAGTGGGACTTTGCCACCCGTGACTGTAGGGACAGGGATGGTGGCGACTCCACAGAGGTGTGGTAGATTCCAGTATCCCTCTGTCCCAGAGGTCATGGCTCTGGAGAGCGGCCCAGCCTGATTTCAGTTAGAGGTCCTTAAAGCTGATCACTGGGAGAAAATGGGACAGTGCCAAATGATTGCTTCCTTATGTAGGCTGGTTAGACTACATAAACAAAGGAAACTATAGAAGAAAAGTGCTTCATTGCTGTACATCCCGAGGAATCATCATGGGTCGTGTTCAACTCTTTGTTTGTATGTCAGCGGAGGGTGCATTTTAGAACACGCATGATAGCTGAGCAACTGAACTCTGCAATGTTCCTGTTGTTTTCCTTGAAAAACATGCAAAGTCTTTTTTCTGTACTTTCAAGGGAGAGTGGAGTGTTGACGAGCACGTATTCACCTGTAAGAGGGGTCCAGTTCCTGGCTAATGAGTGCTTGGATGTGTATTCTGTTCCTGCTGCAGAGGGCTCATGGGATGCAGCTGTGGGAGGTGAGCTCTGCCTAAGGCCCATGCCACCTAAAGTTCTCTGAGGCCCACATGACCACCAGAGCATCCCGGGCTCCAGTGCATTGGCTGCTGCAACCAGGGAATGGAGCAGGAAGATCTCACTATGAGTCTTTCTGGTGTTGTCGACTTGAGGTGCACACGGTGGCCACAGGCACTAAAATAGTGTCGTCCCAGAAACTGGGCTCAAAATGGACCATCAAGACCAGAAAGCTCGCCTTTCTGATAGATGATAGTCACACTGGTGACTTTGTTTATAGTATGATGGGAAGGGGAATGTCCATATTAATTCAGTGCTAACTATATACTGAGCATTTAATGTGTTACTTGACGTAGGTTCTTCATGTCTTTGCTTAAGTGTCACTTCTCAGGGAGACCTTCTTAGCCACCCAGCTAAAACTGCATACCCCACCCCACCATAAGCTTAATATGGGTGGGGGATGCCTTACCCACTTTCTCTGCTGTTTGTCTTTATAGCACTTACCACCTTCTACTATTCTTTACTTGTGTGTTTTGTTTATTGCCTAGCTTCTAGATGTTTAGTTTAATTCCTCTACTTCTGAGGTCTAGAGAGGTTTAGTCATTTGCCTGAGGTTCCAACTAGTAACTAGCAGAGCTGCCATTTGACCCCGTATATGTCGAGGCTGTGTCCGGCACAAAACAGGTGCTTAAAAATGTTTATGAAATGAGCAAGTGGATGAAGGAAGGCACCAAGAGCTTAAATCAGTAGATTCACATTTCCCATCTATTTCTCTTCAGAGCTATGGAAGACTTAGGTTAGTTTCTTTCTGATACTAGCTTAGATATCATTCTCTCATGCGTAATGGTTTACTTATTCTGTCTATACCTAACTCCATGAAAGCAGGCACTTTCTTTGGCCTGTTTTATCCATTGCTGTATTTCTAGTATCCAAACTGACACACAGCAGGGGCTCAAGAAATCTCATTATACAAACTTTCATTGTGGAACAAATGTTTACCCACCTGGAGGTATTTTTGTTATACAAGGAGACACACACGCACACACACACAGACACACACAAATCCTAGAATTTATTTATAAAAAATTGTGTATTTATTCTTTCATGTTTACACTTCATGTAAACCTTCAAAGCACTCTCTGTTTTTGAGACAATACACCTATCAATATACCTTTTCCACTTCTCAAAACAGTCTTTGAACTCATCAATTTTGATGCCTCTGAGTGCTTCTGCTGTTTTTGTTTCACCTCTTCCACATGGGCAAAACATTTCCCGTGAGGAATTTATTCACCTGGGGAAAGAAAAAATATCTCATTTGGAGCAAGGTCAGGAGAATAGGGAGGGTGGCGTATGGAGGTCATTGCCATTTGGGGGCAAAACCTGCTAAACACTCGGCATGGTGTGGGCAGGTGTGCTTGTCAATCATCCATCATGAAATGGGCAAACATGTTGAAAAAATCCCCTCCAAATTCACCAAAGCTGAACACAGCCTCTCATAACACTAACTGGTACACTGATGCTGATGGGTTTCCAGAATACTTATCTAGTAGAGGAAGCCTGTACTACAAGGGGTCCAGCCTCCAAAAGATAATTCTGTTTCTTGAGGGGTCCTCCCTCATATATAAGCCTAGGCATACCCATGTGCTTGCAGAAACAGGAAGATGGAAAAACAGTTGAGTCAGAGGAAAAGAGCACAGCTACCATTTTGTGACTTTTAGTATCCCTGAAGGCTACTCTCCATTGAGAAACCAGGCGATGTGGCCTCCTGACCTGTTCGATGCTGCGTGATGGGGTGGACTCTCTCCTCAGCCCTCCAGTCTTAGGTATCCCTTCTGCCGACTTCTCCCAGCGGGTTCTGCTCTCTCTCTCTCTCTGTCTCTCTCAGGGCCTCCCCTGTGCCAGGAATGTCCATCCCCATCACTCTCCCTGGCTAGCTCCAAGTCCATCCTTTGGCTCTCAGCTCAAACGTTCCTATCTCAGAGATGGGGACACAAGCACGGACAAGATGCAGCTCTTGTTCTTATGGGGCTCACAGGTCAGTGGCAGAGAGGGTCACAGAAGCAAAATATGGCTCACATAGTATCTGACTGCTCTAGTAGAGATCCCGTGCATACAGGGGACATAGTGGAAGCCGTGGGAATACACAGGGTTACTCTGTGTGGTATCTAAAGTCAGAAGAGAAAAGGCCCAAAATAGAACCCAGCCCTCCTCATGCATCCGGTCAAATAGACTGCAGGGTGTTTTACGAGTCAGTGTGGACTTTTTTCCTGACTTGAGGGAGAGGAGAGGAGAATAGAAAAAAATAGTGGCCATGGGCCATGGGTAATCTGCTCAGAGTAGCTGTGACTGAATGTGACACAGAATGATTACATCAGCCCCGATTAAATCAGATAGGGGTCAGGCCACAGGCATATGCCTGTCAATGTTATTTTTTGTCCATGCACTACTATTTATATCCCGCAGAGTCTCTGAAGCACTTTTTTCGTGGCTGCAAGTTCAGGTCTTTCTGTGCCCAGCGTCTCATGGCATTGCATCGCCTGAGGAGATGGCCCTTGGGCAGACACAGATATGCTAGGACCATAGCCTGTGGCATGTTCCAAGCCAGGAGACCTTGAAGGTCAATGAGCCAAAGTCCCATTCTTATCTTAAGTACATTTTTGCATTTGCATTATTAACCTAGCTAAGATCATCACTGTGTTCATTTTTTTATGTATTTCCTTCGAGTCTTTTCCAGATATATTTTTCTATAGCAGTAATTACATGGGACATTTATTTCGTCTCTCAATTTTTTTAAAACTTTGTGCCCTATGTACTCTGTTTCGTTGTTTCTCAGCCTTTCTTACCATTTTAATGATTATAATCGTTTATCAGATTTTAGGGTCATCTTCTTAGCCACCCTCCAGTCACCTATTTTAGCATCAGTTGCTTATTTTACAACTGCATTATTGACAGGAAATACTTTTCCATATATAGGGTTCTCTGTTTTGGACTCTTCCCTGGACTGCATTCCTGGAAGTACAGAGCAAATGAGTTAGAGAACAGAGAATGCTCAGCTTTTTTTGGTTTGTTTGTTTTCAAAGTTTATTTCTTTCCTTCTCTTTTTTATTTTTTTATTTTTTTTTGAGTTGGCGTCTCACTCCGTGGCCCAGACTGGAGTACAGTGGCATGCTCCCAGCCACTGCAGCCTCAACCTGCTGGGCTCCAGCAATCCTTCCTACCACACCCCCCCAGCCTTCCAAGTAGCTGGCACTACAGGCGCATGCTATCATGCCTGGCTAATTTTTGATTTATTGTAGAAACGAGGTCTCACCAAGTTGCCCGGGCGGGTCTCGAACCCGCGGGCTCCCAAAGCGCAGAGCAACCGAGTCCAGCGATCCCTGACTTTTAGTGGCACACAAACAGTAATGTACAGCATGTGTCTTGCGCCGACTGTCACCATCAAAATGTTCATTTTTCCAGTGGCATTTGCAGTCGTACGTTTGTCATGTGAAGAAATGAGGACAGGGTACACTTTATTTCCAGTGTGATAGCTGAGATACAGAGCTGCATGTACTAACAGAGACTTGTTTTCTTTACTGAAGGCCAGCCAAGCTCCGCTTCGGAGAGGGCTGTTGGTGATCCGCGTAAATCCCAACTTCCCACTACAGTGTGCTCTCTGAATTCCTTCCATGCCGTCAGTTATTGCTCTCAAGCCATCCCTGCCTGTGATGCGGCTGCCTCCGCGAGTCAGAACATTTCTGTTCATTTACCTCCAGCTGTGCCCAGAGTCTCAAAATTTCTCCCTCAGCACTGCAATTCTGGGTTGGGCCGGACATGTGCGACGCATCATCACTGCCTGGTGAGTCTTCAGGAGCCCAGGGGTCAGACGGGACCCTTTCCTGCCAGCCCACAGGGGTCCCTGACTTGGGTTTTGTTGTGAGTACTCCGTTAGGAAGGCGGGACCCTAAGAGCTGTGTGAGTTCCTCAGAGATTCTGCCCTGACATGTGGAGAGGAGGGGCTGTGAGCCAGCCTCTAGTTCCCCAGCTGCAGGGCTGGGGTCTGGCTGTGGCTCTTCTGGTTCCATCTCAAGTGTCTAGTTGGAACCCGATTGTCTCCAGAGCTCCCTCCCCCCACCACCTCTTCTACTCGGGGCTTCCATGTGCCCATCCCGTCGTGCCATCCTCACCCTCAAAGGGCTCCATCCCAAGCTGCCGCGTGTCTCCAACACGCAGGCAGGCAGCATCACACACACTGTGATGGTCCCTATGAACCTGTCCTTTCCAACACCAGCCAGGCTGTGTTCAGGTCCCAGGTGTCCCCGTACAGCAGCGCCCATTCCGTTTCGGCACTGTGTGGACCATTATGCGAAGAATGTCACACATAGAGGTAGACATGATCAAGGCCAGAGGCAGTGGCTCACGCCTGTAATCCCAACAGCTGGGAGGTCCAGGCGAGAGGACTGCTTGAGCCCGGGCCGGGCATGGTAGTCCCAGCTTCTCGGGAGGCTGAGCTTCTTGGGAGGCTGTGCCAAGGAGGTCGAGGCAGCAGTGAGTGGTGATTATTGGGCTGCCGCTGCACCCCAGGCTGGGTGACAGAGTGAGATCCCATTTCAGGGAAAGAAAAAAAAAAGATAGACATGATCCCCGCCCTCATGAGGTTGAAGAGTCGTGAGGGTGCAGGCGAGGAAGCAGGCAGTCGTGATGGGGTTGGAAGCAGGTGGGAGGAGGGCTCTGTGTGTAATCTAGTTTGGACTCAGGAGAAGGTGGGGACCACTTCCCCCGGGGAAGCCAGTCTATATCCAAAGACCACAAGTTGGCCAGGTAGAGGACTTGAGAGGCAGGAACAGTCCTGGTAGATGGGTCAGTAGAAGAACTGTCCAGTTCTAGAGGAAGAACCAATTCCGACTGGTCTTCTTAAAATGGGCTTCTGACAACTTCAGTGTCCTTGCTGATACTTCTGCACATTAATTACAGCTAACGTGTTTTGAGCACTCAGTGTGTAATGTGTCAAATACTCTATACTTAGTATGGATGATCTAATGAATCACTGAGGCAACCTTTTGAGGGAAATACCCTCACTGGCTCCATGTGACATCTATAAAACGGGAATAATAGCGACCTTCCTAAAAACTATTTGTGAGAAAAATATTCCACAAAGACATGTTAAAACATAAAGTGTCTACTTGGAAGGTTGAGGCAGAAGGATCGCCGGAGCCCAGCAGGTCGAGGCTGCAGTGGTCGCGAGCATGGCACTGCACTCCAGTCTGGGCGACAGAGTGAGACTCCAACTAAAAAAAAAAACAAAAACATAAAGTGTCTACAGATGGAGTAACGTTTCTCATGAGCATCAGTTTTCCAACAGGAAGACTAGGGTAAATGAGAGGAAGGATCATGGCCAGGTGCAGTCGCTCACACCTATAATCCCAGCACTTTGGGAGGCTGGGGCAGGAGAATCGCTTGAGCCCAGAAGTTGGAGGCTATGGTCAGCCGTGATCATGCCACTGCACTCCAGTCAGGACTAGAAAGTGAGACCCTGACTTAAAAAGAAAAAAAAAAATCATTATTTTTTTTTTTTATCATTGACTTCTTTTTTTTGTTGGAGCAAGTTGTAAAAAAAATAGCAAATAATACATATTTTAAAACCCATAGGTTTATTCACCTGAAGATTTCACATCATTTCATATTGCTTTAGGACAGAGAGAATACACTTGTGACATTACGGGTGAGGATGGACCAGGATCCCATTAATGTGAGGTTTTGGTTTTTTTTCCTTTGCAGCAACAGTTTTGGGCATATTAAAAGCACATGTCTGAAATTCACACTCTAGAGCACCCACTGGGCGCAGTTTGACAATACAGGAAAAGTGGAACAAAGAATGATTTTGAAAGCTCCACCCAGAGACCTCATATCAAAAGAGCTGGCGTCCTCTGACTTGTGATGAAAGTGCTCAAAACTTCTGCAGATGGAAAGACCAGCAGCAAAAGGGCCGGCCGGACTCTCTCACTCATCTTCATACGCACTTGGCTCTCCCCCCGCCAGAGAGCCACAAGGACAAATGGCCTTGGTGACCAGCACTCTTTTTTCTCAAAACATATTCCACAAATTATGAAAAAAGTGCACTAAAAGAAGATCCAGAGAGAGTGGATAAAGTGGAGCAGGCACATTGATACCTTGTGTCACTGAGCACGGATATTGCAACTACATTGCGACTCGCTTCCTATGTTTCGTGCCCCTGTGTATCAGTCACTTATTTCTGGGTGGTATCTTTCCCAGGTTTGACATCTTAGAGAATGTCCTTCTGTGCTCACCATCCAAACCGAGCTGTCTAGAGAGAGACTGAGAGAGGGGTCTCCCTCCTCACTTGGCTACCAGTGATTAAAGGGATGAGTGTGTTTTTGCATCTCTCAACCCCATGAGTAAAACGGTAACTAACAGGTAAATTTTTCTTTCTGGATCTTCAGTTACAGACTAGCAGATCCTTACTTTCTTCATTTTTCTTCTCTCCCTCCCTGGGGTATTAGAAAAGTCTGCTGAAAATAAGGAGAGGAAAATGTTTGTTTTATATTTCACTGAAACGTTCTTATGCATATGTTTTATTATTAAAGGAAATATCCCATTCTGACCCTGAAAACTGTAATCCATTTTTGTTTTGTTTAATAAACAGATGTTCCCTCTTTTAGTAGTATGCTGTAGGGAATTTAATTTCCTTGAGTTTTATTTGAGAAGCTTAAAAATTACTGTAGGCATAGCCTAATTTTCACATCAAATTGTATAACTTTTCTTTGAGGATGCCAAATGATGGAATCTGTAAATATTTGACATGCTTTATAAAGGAACTGGAAGTTTCCACTAAGGGTTATTTTTACACCCGGGTGCTTGATTCTTTCTTCTCGTGCCTTTGGGAGTCATGACTTTGACATTGGGAGAGAGCTTGTGGAGGTATTTTGAGGACTGGGATGCCTGCCTGTGTTCCCAGCTGGTCGTGATGGCTGCTGGGGCCTTTCCTTGGCGTCAGAGTTTCCCTGGATCCCCAAGTGGGCTGTGAGAGAGACCTGAGGCCAGGAATTCAACAGAGGACCAGACAGTGCGACCCCTGCAGCCATCCCCCAGCTCCCCTGCAGCCATCCCCCGGCTCGCTGCACCCTGAGTCCCCTTCTCTCAACACAGAGAGGAGGCTCCCAGATTCACTGTCAGAGCCCAAGGCCAGTGCCCATGATCCTGAACTTCGTACAAGTGTCCAAATCCCTTCCTCCATAGGAGAATTTTGCTCGTAATGAATCATCCTGTTCCAAGGAAGCTCAACTCTTAGCCAAGAAGAAAAAAAAAGAAAAACTTGAAAGAGCAGGATTTTCTTTGTAGAATCAACTGTCACGAAACAGCTGCCGTGCTGTTTTCACCACGAAATGGTGCAAGGAGCTTGTTTAGGGAAAGTGATGGCTGGGGGTTTCACCCCGCTGGTTGCAGAATTCACGGACATAGTGGGGTGATCCGGTCAAGAGGCTGTGAGGAAGGGCAAAGAATGAGGAGAGCACCCCAGTTTCTGGCCCCCAGCAGCTAGGCGGAGAGCTAGGCGGAGATGTTCTCTGGGAGAGCACAAGGACGGACACTTGGCGTGATCCCTGGAACGTGACAGTTTTATCTGGGGATATGTTGCTTTGAGATATTTATAGGGTATCCATGTGGAAGTAGCCAACACACATTCCGATTCTGCAGCAAAGACGGGGGTTGTGGATGGGTGATCGCGGGGCTTGGGGTGGCCTCTGCTCTGGGAGGAGAACGAAAAAGGTGGAGGGGGGAGAGAGGACTCAAGCATTCAATGCCACGTGGGAGTGGCCCGGATGGCCCAACAGAGCCTTATGACCCTGCAGTTCCTTGCAAGAAGTCAGTCGGGCAGGCTCCTGACGACATGTGGCATTGCAAGGTGCCAGAGCTACGAGGTATGTGAGTGAGGCCCTCAAAGGCAGAGGGCACGGGTTGCCAGCGGCAGCTATGTGTTTGCTGGTTGCTTTTTGAATTGTGAGAAATCAAATGACTCTGAATTTCTAGCTCCTGGAAAATTAAAAACATAGACCCCACTGGATCTGTTTCTAGCATGGCAGAAGAACAGCTGACTGCTCAGGCTGAGGCCTGACTGCCCCTGGTCCCTCTTCCCTCCCAGCCCACCTCCCTCCTTGAAGTGACTCGCCTGCTTCCTGCAAGTGTTCCAGTTAGACCCCAAAAGGGGCAGTGTTTCTCTTTGGGATGGGGGTGGTGGCTTGCTAAAACGCTGATTCCCAGGACATACCCCACGGGATAAGACTTGGTAGGCTTGGCTCACAGTGCCTGGAAATACGCATTTTGACAAACACTGCCAGGTATGCTTGCTGGCATCTGATTGTCCCTCTTAAAAACACCCAGTGCAATAAACAGATGCAGTTACCCACCGGGGACAGAGCAGATACAAACTAAAACCATGTGTCATTGACTCACAGACCTGGCGGGGCGCCAGAAGCATTTGTAGGTTTATTCAAACCATACATTGCAGGACTCAGAGACTCTGATCCCGCAGTGCTAGAAGGGGGCCTAGCACCCTGTACAGGGTGATTCTGATGTACACCCAGGTTTGGAAGCCCTTGTTAATTTACCACATGCTAATCATGTGTGTTCAGGGCTGAAGTCAGAGGGTGGAGCACTGGAGTACAGCTCTCCTAAATCCAGACAGGCGATGGAGAGAATTGCTTCCACATGGATTAAGAAAGGCTTGCAGAGGTGGGTTCCAGAAACGACTTTGGTAAGTTAGAAAGAGGATTGGAGTTGGGCTCAGTGGCTCAGCCTGTAATCCCCATGCTTTGGGAGGCTGAGGTGAGTGGATTGCCTGAGCCCTCAGGTTCGAGACCCGCCTGGGCAACTTGGCAAGACCTCATCTCTACAATAAATAAAAAAATTAGCCAGGCTTGGTGGCACGCGCCTGTGGTTCCGGCTCCTTGGAAGACAGGTGGAAGGATCGCCAGAGCCCAGTGGGTTGAGGCTGCAGTGGCCAGGAGTGGCCACTGAACTCCAGTTTGGGTGACAGAGTAAGACTCCAACTCAAAAAAAAAAAAAGAAAAAGGATTGGGCAGTAGGATTGCCAGGGAAATTCAAAGGTGGGTGTGGACCCAGTGAATTCTGAGTAGGAATACCTAAGAAGAATGACCGCCAGGTAAGGAAGGGAGCATTTCCCCATTTTAGTTCATCTAGATGGCGATGGAAACTGAAGGAAGGGAGGTGAGAGTGAATTTTTATTAAATCTTTCCTGCAGGCCCATTGTGTAAAATTACCCTGAAGCTACATAATGAATCTTGGAAAAGTTCTGTTATTTCTCTGAATGGCATTGACATCACAACATCTTGATACCAGCACCTCTCCTCCCGGTATTTTTCTACCCACCTACCGGGGGCATGCCACTGGTTTCCCCTTTCCTTCTGTGTCTCCCAGGGATGTGGAATGAGGAGGCAGAAAGCCCGTGGACCACCTTGGTTAATCCAGTATCAAGAGCTGGTTCCATCCCCACGGAAACGTAACACTCCCACAGAAGTGTTATGTTTTTATCTTTGTATTTTCCTCGGTTGTTTTTACATTTCAGAGTAATCTTTCTGAAAACAACAAAAAAATAGAAAAATACACACACAGGCTCACGATTACATTCCAGAATATCTTGTAGGCTGCCGAATGTTGCTCGTCAGACTCTAGCAAAAATATTTTTCATCTTTACCCAAAGCAAAGGTTTCTAGAAGTCGAATTATAAAACGGGAGGTTTTATGAGGGGTTCTATAATTCTAGAAGTCCAACTATAAGACAGGACTTTTTTTTTTTTTTTTTTGAGTTGGAGTCTCACTCTGTCGCCCAGACTGGAATGCAGTGGCTGCTCACGGCCACCGCAGCCTCGACCTGCTGGGCTCCAGTGATCCTTCCGCCTCGGCCTTCCAAGTAGCCGGAATTACAGGCATGCGCTACCATGCCCGGCTGATTTTTTGATTTATTATAGAGATGAGGTCTCGCTGCCCAGGCAGGTCTCGAACCCGCGGGCTCAGGCAATCCGTTCACCTCAGCCGCCCAAAGGCGCGGGATTACAGGCTGAGCCACCGAGCCCGGCTTAAGACGGGATTTTTAAAAAATGCTGTTGGAAGAAAACGTTCAGGAAAACACTTTTTAACATGCACAGATCCACTAATTCTGAAAAGTGGTCTGCCAAGCTGTAGATCCCAACAGTCTTTGCAAAGATGTAATAAGTCTTTGCTGATTTCTTCCCCAAGCGGTCTTAGGGCTCCATGAGACTTTTGGGAGTGGAGTATTTTATAAAACGGAATTCCTCCTCTTGATAGTCTCCCGGGCTATTTCCTTGCAACCTTCAGAGTAATAACCCGATGTTCAAAAATTCCTTGCTTAGGCCTCATGAGACTCAATGCCATGTTTAACCCCCCGTAACAGATCTCAACACTGCAGACACTTTGCAGGGTATTTTCCCCATAGGCCTGAAGTAGGACTCAGTTTTGAACTAGAAACCACTGAAAAGTAGGAACTCTTTCCTGAAACCATGTGTATATTAGGATGGGCACCCAGAAACAAGAGTAAACTCACTGACTTCTTTCCCTACTGCTTTAGGCAAATGATACTGGTTTCTCTCATGTTGTGTTACTCTATCACTCCTGAATCTATTGCTTATAGAGTGTTAAGAGGTAAAAGAAGCCTACATAACTCACATCCCTGCAGCAATTATTTGTTTCTTTAATATTTTTAGAGTTTATTTACTATAATCAAAAAGACGACCAATGTGGTTAGAGCACTGATTTTTATCTCCTCATGGAGAACGAGAATTGAACTACCCTTTTGTGTCATTTAACTGGTAAAATAATGATTTTAGGCTGGGTGCAGTAGCTCGTGTCTGTTATCTCCACACTTTAGAAGGCCGAGGAGGGAGGATTGCTTGAGTCCAGGAGATCAAGACCAGCCTAGATAACACCGCAAGACCTCATCTCTACAAAAAACAAAAAATAAAAATTAACCCAGTGTGGTGGCACATGCCTGTAGTGTAGTTGCTTGAGGGGCTGAGACAAAGGATCACTTGAGCCCAGGAATTTGAGGCTGTGGTCCGTGACTCGCGTTATAATGATAATAATAATGATCTTAAATATCTTGCTAACGGAGACATTCTGGACTTTCTTTTTTTCATTGCAGTAGAAAGTTCTACTCTTAGTAATAGAGTCAGTGGCCAGACAAAAATACCCCTCAGCCTCTGATAAAGTTACAGGAAAGGAAGAGAGAGAAAATATCAGTGAAGCTATTTTTTTTTCTTTAGAAGCAGAAGCTAGTATTTGGGAAAAATGTGAAAATGAGCATATCGTCTTGGCATACAGGAACTTTTAAAAGGGTTCTTAATCCTAATCTCATGCAGCAGAGACACCAATGCAGGATTTGCTCTGAGCTCCTATAATCCTCCCTCACGTTCTTCAGTCACATGAGAACCATCATCTATGGGGAAGGGAATTCCTTTTCTGACCACTGCTGCCCTCACCCCGTGAAGCAAGAGCTATAAGTTTCAGCATAAATATTATTGCTGGCTGCACGACTTCTCAGCTCCTTTTTAAAAACCCGCCCACGGAATTTGACAGGCAGAGACTGTGTTTATACTTGGTATCGCTCTCCATTCTCCCTAAAATGGAAAACCTGCAATAAAACACTGCTCCCGGGGTGGCTTGTATCAGCACAAAGGGCAGTTACAGGGAGATCACATTAAGGGATTTGCACTTACAACCTTGGCTCTGGTCCAACCAAGGCTGGGAAAAATACTCCCAGTTCTCCACCCCAGCAGCCATGTTGTATGTTTCCTATCTGAGGAGGCCGGTCCGC